ATATACACGCCAGAATTGTACCCTACCAATCTTAGGTAATGTATCTTTATATACAATCCAGTGATTTATCTTACTAATATAAGGTATGGTTTCTTTATATACAATCCAGAGATTTATCTTAACAATCTAAGGTATGGTATGTTTATATACAATCCATATATATTATAATAACAGTAACTTGATCCGAAGGGTCGTATCATGTCGAGTTGACAGGCGCGGATTTTCAGATCTAACGAGACGCCAAGCATCCAGTTTGATCTGATGATCTGTCAACGAGACGTGAAACGGTTCCTCGTATCAAGTTACTGTTATAAGGATAAATTTATTATATACCCCCTTATAACTAGCAAAATATAGCGAAAAAAACTTCAGAGATCAATTGCATAATTTTTATCTATAAAACAAAGCATAAAAAAGATGGACATTTTGACGCACAAGAAAAATAACGTCATGTTTCTGCGTACTACGTCATCAGTTTCAGAGAGTGGTGATATGGATTCAGAAAACCACAGTGTGGTGATCTGGAAAGTCGGATCACGAAGTCACGTGATTGCGTAAAATCAACAGTAAAATTGAGGGATACATAATATGTTTTACGGTGTGACCGTTAGGGCGAGCGCAGTTGTACCATCAAAAACACTCGAGATCAACCACTTCGAACGTCAAGCCGCGCGAGACATCTCGACTAGCTGTGACGTCACGGAGCTCATCGGAGCTTACGGAGACAGCTGAGCGTCTGTTTGAAACTATAGAACTAGTGCAATTTTTGTCGAAAAGCATTGCAGAGTTATTTCTTGTTTCTTTGAAAGATTTCTACAAACTGAAAGCCGGATATATGCTTTACGTTATTATTTATTTATTTATTCGGCAATATTCGCGCAAAGTACATTGGGTAGTGCAGGAATTCTGGGAATGTTGCACAGAGAAATTTGGCTGACGTATGTACAGATTTTAATCCGAATTTCCTCTGTTCTTACACGTTAGTCTATTGAGCTCGCTGCGCTCGCTATTAGGTATATATGAAAGAAAAAGTGAGCTAGCTCACATACCCCACGCTCCCCCAAAACTTGACGGTGAAACACATAATGAAAGGCACAGTGCATTTTAAATATATAGTATAGATCAAAAAGGGCAATAATTGCTAAAAAAAATCTTCACATCAAAATATCTTACATATGAGGTCATTTAAATGTGGAATGAAGTTTCTAGATAAATAATGGAATCAAAATTTCTTGGCATTCTACAAATCCAAACATTAATTTGAAGTGGGGGGGGGGGGGGGGGGGTATGAAATTTTATTTAATAATAGGCAAAACTCTTTGGGATAAAAGAAACTATGTACAACAGTTTAAGAGGAGTGGTGCTGACAAACTGTTCATCTCTATATTCTAAATATGGCCATAAAGTCTAAGTTGGAAAGTGTGGAAATTCCCGGAAAAATAAAGGAATCAGAATTTTCTGGTAACATGCACATCTACATATTGTGTCCTAAATATCTACAAAGATTGACGAAATTCTGTGCAGCGGTTTATGAGGAGTTGCGCTGACAAACTGTTCATCTTTATATTCAAGGTATGGCTAAAGGCCTAAGTTAAAAAGTGCGGAAATTCCCGGAAAAAATAATAGAATCGGAATTTCCTGGTAATATGAACATCTACACATTGTGTCCTAAATACCTGCAAAGTTTGACGAAATTCTGTGCAGCGGTTTATGAGAAGTTGCGCTGACAAACTGTTCATCTCTATATTCAAGGTATGACCAAATGCCTAAGTTAAAAAGTGCGGAAATTCCCGGAAAAAATAATGGAATCGGAATTTCCTGGTAATATGCACATCTACACATGGTGTCCTACACTGGCTGGAACGTTATTGTTGACAAACCAATCGTGTAGAATCGTTCGTGTTTCGTGAGTGATCGTTCGTTTAACGTGTAAGATCGTTCGTGTATCAGACTCAATCGTGTGCGTTTTTAATCGTGCGAGATCGTGCGTTTAGTATCGTGTAAATTTCGTTTTGTAAGTTTTTATCGGAATGTTATTTGTAAAATAAGCATTTCCCTTGTTTGTTTTTTTTCTTAATTTATTAATTAAAATCCAATTAAAATGAAAAAGCGCAATTTACATAATGCAGAACGAACTAATTATCGCCCGTAAACAAGCAATATAGTAAGTCGTACAATATTAAGTTCTTGTCAAATAGCGCGATCAATATTGTGATAAACCGTACTTAGATCTTTAACGCCTTTTTGAAAAATCTGATTTTTGTTTTATTATTTACTTCTTATTGTGGTCAAGATAATCTTGAAATCAATTCATTGAAAATAAATATATTTTTTTTTACAAAGAAATAAACATTTCTCAATGCTTACATAACTAGTTAGTCGACAAATATACATGGACACGGCATGATTCTCGGGAATTTTGATTATCTGTGTTTATCTCTTGAGCTTATTTGTAATTAATTAGTTTTAAATTTCTCCAAATAAAAAAGTTGAACAATTGGCAAGTTTATCAGACATTGAACACTGTTGAATCATTTGAAACATCAGGATAACATTTGCAATTATAATTTAAGTAATTCCATGCTGCCAATTTTGTTCAATCGTATCCCCCTTTCTGCATATCATGATATCCAATTCAATCAAATTATACGACCCATATACATTAACATCGTCTAACAGATCGAACAAAATCCGTTTTTTTGATCGGAGAATTACCTTAGAAATAATTATTTTTAATCTAAAATATTAAGTCTTGCATATTTTCTTTAAAGTCTATGAAATAATAATGATAATTCTTTGAAATCTTAAATAAGTATTAAGCCGTATTTCGTTTTGAAAATAATGATTCCTAAATATTTTGAACTATTTTGAGTGAAGAATCGTGCGTTTGCGTTAACAATCGTGTAAGATCGTGTAACGTGTAGAATCGTGAACGTGGAAGATCGATCGTGTAACAGGTTTAATCGTGCGTTAATCGTGCGGGATCGTTCGTGTAACGTGATCGTGCGTGTAAGTTGTCAACAATAACGTTCCAGCCACTATAAATACCTGCAAAGTTTGACGAAATTCTGTGCAGCGGTTTATGAGGAGTTGCGCTGACAAACTGTTCATCTCTATATTCAAGGTATGGCCAAATGCCTAAGTTAAAAAGTGCGGAAATTCCCGGAAAAAATAATGGAATCGGAATTTCCTGGTAACATGCACATCTACACATTGTGTCCTAAATACCTGCAAAGTTTGATGAAATTCTGTCAAGCGGTTTATGAGGAGTTGCGCTGACAAAAAAAGAGGACTGACTGACGGACTGACTGACGGACGGGTCAAAAACATTATACCTCCCGCAACTAGTTGCGTGGGGTATAAATATAGAGATTTATCTTAACAATCTAAGTTATGGAGTCTTTATATAGAATCCAGATATTTATCTTATTAATCTAAGGTATGGTATCTTTATATACAATCCAGAGATCTATCTCAACAATCTAAGGTATGGTATCTTTATATACAATCCAGAGATATCTATCTTAACAATCTAAGGTATGGTATGTTTATATACAATCCAGAGATCTATCTTAACACTCTAAGGTATGGTATCTTTATATACAATCCAGAGATTTATCTTATTAATCTAAGGTATGGTATCTTTATATACAATCCAGAGATTTATCTAACCAATCTAGGGCAAGGTATCTTTATATACAATCCAGTGATTTATCTAACCAATCTAAGGCAAGGTATCTTTATATACAATCCAGAGATCTATCTTAACAATCTAAGGAATGGTATCTTTATATACAATCAAGAGATCTATCTTAACACTCTAAGGTATGGTATTTTTATAATATACAATCCAGAGATTTATCTAACCAATCTAAGGCAAGGTATCTTTATATACAATCCAGAGATTTATCTAACCAATCTAAGGCAATGTATCTTTATATACAATCCAGAGATTTATCTAACCAGTCTAAGGCAAGGTATCTTTATATACAATCCAGAGATTTATTTAACCAATCTAAGGCAAGGTATCTTTATATACAATCCAGAGATCTATCTTAACACTCTAAGGCAAGGTATCTTTATATACAATCCAGAGATTTATCTAACCAATCTAAGACCAGGTATCTTTATATACAATCCAGACATTAATCTTATCAATTTATGTAATTGTATCTTTATATACAATCCAGAGATTTAACTTACTAATCTTAGGTATGGTATCTTTATATACAATCCAGAGATCTATCATATCAATACAAGGTATGATATCTTAATACACAATCCAGAGATTTATGTTACCAATCTAAGGTAAAAGATATCTTTATATACACAAGAGAGATTTATCCTTGAATGGTATTTTTAAAATTGAGTTAAAAACTCATTTAAGAAAAGTGAGATCGAGGTCAAAAGATGAGATCAGGGTCTAAAATGGTAATGCAGTTTAATAGCTCTCATCAGTATGTTTCAGCGTATGAAGATTGATAACACTATCCTGGATTGTTTCTTTAAAACTGAGCTCTTTTAAGAAAAATGAGGTCAAGGGAAAGGGAAAGATTAAACTTAAAAAAATGTTGATGCAGTTGCATAGCTCTCATCATTATCTATCAAGCTATGTAAATGAAAACATCTTGAATAATTTTTTATTAAACTGCAAGAGCTTTGACACAGAGCTAAACGCAAAGTTTGACGGAAGGACAGATGGAAGGACAGAAGGACGGGAGGACGGAAGACGGACAAGACAAACACTTTACGCCTCGGCCATATTCATGGCGGTGTATTTCCACAGCTCAACGCACTTTTTAAGCTCACATGGTTTTTCGCACAGATTAAAGTCACATTGTTAAAATGAAAATTACCATTTTTGAACTGCAGTACAATGACATAGCCTTTCGTTATATTACATATATAATGTTGAGCATAAATGTATTTTAAAATTATTATCTTATGTTTCCAAAGTTGGTGTTTTTTAAGAGGAATTTATAAATAAATGGTATGATGTTTCACTATAAGATTCTACCATAGGTTTTTACAAATTGTATAAAACGAGCTTTCTTTGATACCATGTACCGGGGTACTTGAAAATTTTAAACTTTATTTTTCAAGGTGAGTGTTTTTAAAAATCTTTGTTTATTTATTTGTTCAAACTTCTCTTGGTTTTGTCGAAATGTAGCGCCGAAAAGGAATAACAATGCAGAAGGAAACATCACTAAAGGGTAGGATAATGAAGTATTGTTCATTTTTTTTAATTAGTAAAATTCCTTATATGAAAGGGACATTCTTCTGCATTTACGGTTTGAAAAGTTTAAATTTTGCAGTGGGATGAATCTGTCATGATTCTAGATTTTAGAAGTTGACTCTGAAAAAATTCCGCCTTATTGTGTTTTGTTGGTTGAGGCTCTTTCTTCTCTTTATAGGGCACTCGGTATCGGAATGGGGTCAGCGGCAGGTAGAATAGGAGGAATGGTATCCTCATTTGCAGCTTTGTTTGTAAGCATTTTTATTAGGTGTAAATCTTTGTTTGTTAGAAGAATGATATAGAGATGTAAGCATTTTAACTAGGTATACAAATTTGTTTGTAAGTATGTTTAAATATGTATACATCTTCGATTTTAGTTTTTTTTTCAAATTAGTATGCAGCTTTATATGAAAGATGTAGTTACATAAGAGCAGTATTTCATAGAGAGAGATACCGTATAAGCAGAATTTTTAGCAAGGATTTAATGTTGGCCTTATTAGCGAAGTTATTGGGATCGCTAGAATTTAATATCGCTAAAAATTCATTGTGTTTTATTTGTAATAGCTTCTTTAGTGAGTATTTAAAAATCGCTAAACTTACATCTCGCTGAAAATAAAATACCGTTTTTTTTAAGGACGAATCGCAAAATTTGCCTTAAGCTAAAATTTTTATTTTTACTTATATGGTAATATCGTCCACGATTTCATATAGAGAGATAATATATTCCATGATTCCATCTATTAACTTTCTTTTTCTTATAGGGTACCTACGTACCTTGGGGACCAGGTGTCGTGTTTGGCTCTCTGTCACTACTGGCCACGATATCCTTCTTATGGTTACCCGAAACAACTGGGAAGGAGCTATCTAATACTCTCCAGGAGGCCTTGAGTTTCCATGCCCTGAAAGACAAAAAAAGAAAGACACCAGTGGTTTCTTTAATTAAAATAACTAACATTGAGAGGACAGTTGTAACCCCCACCAAACCCACCCCCGAATTTTGTCATTAAAAAAACTCTTTATTCTATATTTAGCTTTATCAAATGCTTGCCATTGCCTTAATAACAACAGTTAAGATGCGGGAAACTGAGTTGTTTGACATTATCTCGAGAAGTGAAATAATTTCAATATAATTTTAAAAGATGTATTCTGGTATGTATATACTAAATATAAATATTCTCATTTGTTTTGACAAAAAAAAAAATCATTTTTCTCGAACTAAACGGACATCCCTCGTCAGTATTCGTACAAATTAAACCCCTTCCTCAATACCGATACCCTGATCGTTTATAATGTTGTTGTTTGTGAAAAATATAGTTCATTCCATTTTCAAGGTGGAAAATTTGAAGATGATAAAGGAACGGTGATCGACCTAAAAAATCATGTAAACATGGCATAAAACACGGATCCTATGGAATTCAAGAGGTGGAACCGTGTGTATAAGAAGAAAACCTCAAACCATCGATTACAACCGCTGGGAGCTCTATGTATTGATCAGATAGAATAAATCAAAGTACTGAAAGTACTCATGGGAGTTGAACATTGTTATCTGAAAGATCTCACAGGAAGTATGGGAACAGTTTCATGCTTTCAGATTCAAGTCAGCTAGAACTGATTTGTTAGAGATACAACACGGAACATTAAAATTATTTTCAATTGCATTTAAATAGCCAAGATTATGGGACTGCTATTAAATAAGCTGCAGAACTCTAGCTCTCCGGAAAAAAAGATATTGACAGACCGGAGAGCTACAGTGCCATTTATCGAAAAAAAAAAACTGTATATTTATTGCGCACGAACAGTTAAG